TAGAAATACAAATAAAGCCAGATCTAGAAGGGACAAGAAAATCTGGACCGAAAAAACAAACCAAACAAACCAAAAAACAACTTTTAGAACTATTCTCCAGAGTTGCTTCATACACAAAAGTTAAAAAAAATAAAGTATTTGTGTGTGTGTGTGTGTGTGTGTGTGTGTGTGTGTTGGAGGGCCAGAAGCACCACACTGCCCTCTCCACTTCCCCACAGGGTTTAGGGGATCATATCTGGTGCTGGGAATTGGGCCAGGTCAGGCTCATGCAAGTCAAAGTGCTCTGCCTGCTGTACTGTCTCTGGCCCCTCAGTTGTTTTTCTAATGATTACACCAGTTTAAAGTTTTACTCTCAATTTGAGTATTTTTAAAGACAATTAAAAGACATATGTAGAGGCTATCTACATTCCATTCAACCTTTAAACTTTCTTCAAGTCACTTTATCCGAGAGAGCTTTAAAATGCTACACTTTCTTTGCCACCTCTGGCTTCAGTGAGGACCAGCACTGACCAGCTGTGGCAGCTGAGATTCCACAGCACAGCCTGGGTGGGTTTCCTTCCCACAGAGGCCGTGGTCGGCGGGAACCCGCTGGGACACCACTACACCAGGAAGGCCCGCCCTGCCCAATCAGCGCCCCCTTTTTAAATAATTTTTTTTAATTGAATCACTGAGACAGACCCTTAGAAAGTTTCTTATGATTGGATTTCAGTCATTCAGTATTCTAACACCCATCCCTCCACCAGCGTCCATTTTCCAGCACCAGTGTCCCCAGGTTCCCTCTCATTACCCCCCAGCCCCAGTCCAACCCCCTGCCTTCTGTAGGGCAGGCGCTTTTCCTCTCTGTCTGTCTGTCTGTCTGTCTGTCTCTGTCTGTCTCTGTCTCTGTCTCTCTCTTTCTCCCCTCCCTGTTTCCTTCCCTTCCTTTTGTCAGCACCCCCTTTTGCCAGATGCCAGCATGCCTGCAACTGCAGGGATGGTTGCAGGCAAGACCCGCGGAACCCATCTATCCCCACCCCTTTGTTGCCCTACAAGATTAAGTCCCCTCCCTTTCCTCATTGTAGGTTGCTCAGAGTCCAGGATAACCATCATGCATCACTGTTGTTCTCAACTTAAACACCCACATTCCTTGGATGGTCTTGGCCTTTTACTTCTCCCTGGGCACATCCTAGCCTGCCAATGTGCTTTTTCAATTAATGGTGCGATACTCAGAAGGATGTTTGAATGTGATATGCCACTGTCACCCTTCCTGTCAGTGCTCCTCAAATCCCCTGAGTCCCTCACTCCTAATTAGCCCTTGGCCATTGCTTTCTCCTCTTCCGGGGTCATGGGTCTCAGCCCCAGGGGATGAGATACTCCTGGCTACTCCTCGCCTTGGAGGTGGCTCCCTGCAGAGCTGAGATGTGGTGGTTGAAGGGGGTCGGGGCTGTGTGCTGCCAGGGATCAAACTGAAGGCCTCACACGTGCATGTGCTCTGCCACTGACTCACGTCCCTGGCTTCCCAAGTTCTCCGCCTCATTTTTGACTCACACCCGGCAATGCTCAGGGCTTACTCCTGGCTCTGCACTCAGGAATTACTCGTGGCGGTGCTTGGGGATATGTGGGATGCCTGGGATAAAACCCAGGTCAGCCGCGTGCAAGGCAGATCCCCTACCCTCAGTGCTATCACTCCGGCCCCCTTCCGCATGCTCTCTTAGTTCTACTCTGGCACAGTGGGTGTTCATTGTATTACTTGCGTCAATTACTTGTGAGCTCTGACTTCTAATTAGGCCAAGAATTTTGTGGAAACTGCACCTTATTTATTTTCTTGGTTTTGGGTCACACCTGGCAGTGCTCAGGGCTTATTCTGGGCTCTTTGCTCAGGGATCATTCCTGGCAGTACTCAGGTGACCCATTTTGAGTGGTGGGAATCAAACTGCGTTGGCCACCTGCAAGGCAAGCACCTTCCCCACTGTAGTATCTCACTGGCCCCTGCACTTCTTTCATATTTTGTATAGAACTTGTACTTGTCAGGTACTCAATAAATGTTTTATGAGTTATGTAATTAACATTCTTTAATATTATCTTATGACCGTGTTTTCCCAGAGAGCTATCAAGAGAGATTCTCAGATTGCAGTTGAGATCAAGATGTATGATTATGTACATTGAATTTCTCACCTTCACCTATTCCCAGATAAACTGGATTTAGTCTGGAATTACTGTTTTTCAGCTCTCTTGATTTCCTTGGGAATGTGAGCAAGTCTTTCAAAGAATTTTGACAGCAGTATGTATTTGTTTCTGGTTTCTGGTGTGTATTTACTCATTTTTGAACATCGAATCATTTCATCTCTATTTCCTAATACTCTCTCGAAGTAACTACAATATTATGTACTCACTCCAGTATACATTACTGCTATGACATCAGCCAGTCTGAGGTGGTGAATTTGACCTTATTTGTCGTAATCATTAATAAAATATCAGTACTTTATACTTCTCAAGTGCTCTACTGTTTACTTCATGCTTTCCCTGTCCTGACTTCACTTGAACCTTACTGGAAGCTCTTCAGTAGAGAGGACTTTCTGTGTGTTGTAGTCCCGAAGACAGAAATGTGGGGTGTCACCTCACTAGTCAGTGGGTGGGTCAAAGGGACTTGGACTTTTCGAGATAGGCACTATGCCAGACACTTCTCTGATGAGCTCGGCCCCGTGATGGAGCAAAGGAGTTGACTTTAGCCTCTTCACAGCTGAGGCAGGAACCTGGAGATTTGCCTAGATATACACTGTTATCCATCCTCTCTTCCGACATAGTCTGATAAGGATTTTCAGTGGAAATATGCTCTCTTTGAAGTTACTCTGAGAATAACTTAATGCCTTAAATGAAAACTGTCAAGGAATTGGTCTTTCATTTTCATTTTTGGTTTTTGGAACACACTTGGAAGTGCTCAGGGATCACTCCTGGAAGTGAGTGAACCAACATTACAGGGTGCTGAAGATCAAACTAGGGTCAGAAGGGTGCAAGGCAGGTACCCTACCTGCTGTGCTATCTCTTCGGCCACTCCTGTTCTGCTTTTTAAAAAAATGGATCCTGGGAGGCTGGAGCCATAGCACACTGGGTGGTGCATTTGCCTTGCATGCGGCCGACCCGGGTTTGATCCCCAGCATCCCATATGGTCCCCCGAGCATCACCAGGAGTAATTCCTGAGTGCATGAGCCAGGAGTAACCTCTGTGCATCGCTGGGGTGACCCAAGAAGCAAAAATAAATAATAAATAAAAAGGATCCTGGGCCTCAGTTTGTTGAAACATGTTACCTTGTAGGGTAATTCACAATGTCACTTCATTCATTTTGTACCTCATCAAGAAATTGCCTGTCGAGTGGGTCTTTAGTGGGTGCATAAAGCAGAGCTCCAAGGAGATGGGACCCAGGACAGATGAAGGTGTCAGGGTGCGGGGAAGGGCATCAGCCTGGGACCCCAGCACCCAGGTACATGTCTCAGGGGAAAGGCCCAGGTGTCCATAAGGAAGACAGTCACCAGGTGTCCCCAGCACGTGTTCGCTTTAGGAGCTGGAGGCATCCATGCTGGCCTCAGCCCTCTTCCATCTGTAAGGAGCAACACCACAAGAGAGAATAAGCTGCTCCCTTTATTGATTGATTGATTGATTTTTATTATTTTTTAAATTTATTTTTTTTATTGAGTCATCCTGAGATAGTTAAAAAAGTTGATCATGATTGCGTTTCAGTCATACAATGTTCCAACACCCATCCCTTCACCACTGTACATTTTTCACCACCAGTGTCCCCAGGTTCCTTCCCGGCACCAGGAAGTCTCAAAATGGAGACGTTACTGGGCCCGCTCGAGCAAATCGATGAACAGCGGGACAAAGTGTGACATGTATGTGTGTCACTGTTGTCACTGTCCTCCCATTGTTCATCGATTACAGTAACGTCTCCATTGGAGACTTTGTTGTTACTGTGTTTGGCATATTGAATACATCACGGGGAGCTTGCCAGGCTCTCCGAGAGGGGCAGAGGAATCAAACTCAGGTCAGCCATGTTGGCTGCATGCAAGGCAAATGCCCTACCGCTGTGCTATATTATATCATGATCATCCTGTTGTTTGTCTATTGCCTCGAGCAGGCACCAGTAACGTCTCCTTCGTCCTAGCCCTGAGATTTTAAAAAGTGCCATATCCAAGGTTCTTTCAGGGTTGGAGAAAGAGACCCATTGTTGTTACTGGTATTTGGCATATTGGGTACACCATGGGGAGTTTGCCAGACTCTGCGATGTGGGCAGGTTACATTCGGTAGCCTGCCAGGTTGTCCAAAGTAAGAATGAGTTGCGACCGTGCGCTTCTGGGAGCTGGGTTTTATAGTCTCTGGGTCTTGGCAGTTGATGGGATTACACAGCGCTGGCGGGGGGTGGGGGGGCAGTTGGTGGTTGTGACCTCTGCCTACTGGAAGATGAAGGATTTGGGTGGAGGATGCTCAGCCCCGATCCGAGCAGGCTTGGAGATCTCAGCCCCGGGACCCGCATGCCTTTGTTCCTCTGCCAGTACCTTCATGCGTGTGGAGAGTGGTCTCAGCATGGTGGTGGCTGGTTCTGGAGGTCTTCGGCTTCCGGGGCTCTGCTTGGGGTGGGGAGGGAAACTCAACCCGCCCCCCCTCCAAGGGGCCCCAGTGAGGACAGCCAGGTGCGGGGGTAGGAGATTCTGTGCTGTTCTCTTCCGGGAAATATATATTTACTCTTAATTCCTTTCATCACTCAGTACTTGTGCAGAGTGATCATTTCCAACTATCATTGTCATAGTGGTCCCTTCTCTATCCTAACTGCCCTCCCCTAACTCCCACCACTTGTGGCAAGTTTCACCCAGAATCTGGAGCTGCTCCCTTTAGATGGAAATGAACAGCTCAGTCACAGAAGGCAAGTGTGTAGGGGGTTGTGCTCACCATTGAAAACTGCAGTTAGAAGGAAGACCTATCATGTCTTTGTACAGTCTTGAAATAATTTCTTATTTCTCACTTTCCAGACAATTGCAACATGACTTCCCCAGGGCCCTGATTTTCAGCACGGATGATTTTTTCTTCAGGGAAGATGGTACCTACGAATTCAATCCTGACTTCCTGGAGGAAGCACACGAGTGGAACCAGAAAAGAGGTGACAGATATCTTTCCAAACTCCTGGGAAATTCCACCGTGTCCATAGCCTTGTAGCTGCTGCAGAATGAAAACATTTGATAAAAGGAGATTAATCAGAGATTCTGTCATTTTGCCCCTCAGCAGAAGGCCAGAGAGCCTTCGCCTTCCAGATTCCAGGAATTAGGAAATGATTGATAACAGGTTCTGAAAAAGATGGCATTAAGGTTGTATGCTGAGGACATCCTGTAATAGAAGTAACAAAAGGGGCAGTCACGCTTGTCCTTCTCTCTGTTGCATGTTGTTCACTGTTATATAACATTGTGTTGCAGCAAGAAAAGCAATGAGGAATGGCATATCCCCTATTATTATCGATAATACCAACCTGCACGCCTGGGAAATGAAGCCCTATGCAGTCATGGTAGGAAGAAGCGTTATTCTGAATTTTCCGTTTATGGACATTTTCTGAGAAAGCTGAAACATTTGTTACCCACCCCTTCCTCTTCCTCTTTGTCTAATCTCCCACTTGTGGTGGCGGATCCTCATGGGTAAAGAGGTTTGACCTTGGTGTTTCTCTGCCGTTCAGTGGCTGCCATTTGCTGAGCTGCCCGTGTCCCTGAGAGCCCACGTTTTAAATAGGGGGGTCTGAACTCTTGCTAGCGTTTTCCACCGGGGTTATTTGCCCATGGGAGCCATGTAGGTGCAGCCACTGAAACTCTCAGGAATCTGGGTGGTCTGTCACTGGCGAGCTGGGGGGTCCAGCACTGAATGTGGTCATGTGGGAAATTCAGGGCCACAGAACTTGATAGTTTCAAAAAAAAGGAGATTTAAGAGGAACGCTGTCACCCTAAGATAAAAAGATAAAATATTCCTATTATAACTCACTTCTCTATTGCCAGAATTACTAAAGAATGGCCAGACGAATAAAACAGTAGTCATGATTTTCTTCAAGAATGTCTTTTATTTATTTTTAATTTTTGGGTTTTGGGCAAAAAGTGACAGTGCTTAGGGCTTACTCCCGGGTCTGCACAAACAGTTCACTCCTGGAGGGCTTGGGGACTACTGGGGCACTGGGATCGAGCCATACCTGCTGTACTGTTGCTCCGGCCCCAAGAACGTCGTGTGTGTGTGTGTGTGTGTGTGTGTGTGTGTGTGTGTGTGTAGTAAAACAGATTTTATTTGTAGGGTATTGAAGGTATGGAGGGGAGGGAAAGAGAGCAAGAGCGAGAGTGAGCGAGAGAGAGAGGGTAGAGGGGAGAGAGAGAGAGAAAGAAAAGAGAGAGAGGGAGGGAGAGGGAGGTGTAGATAGGAAACTACACATCTCAAGAGGGGAGATGTGGGTGACTCATGGGCTTGGGCACAAGATGTGCTCGGCCACGTGTGTGTAAGCATGGGCTTGGGCAGCATATTCGTGCCGAACGAATGTCTTTTTTAGAAAAAAATTTTTATTCCTAGATTTTGTGATTTTGTTTAATTTTGGTTTGATGTTTGGGCCATACCTCGTGTTGCTAAGGGCTTTCTCCTGACTCTGTGCTCAGGATATCACGTGGTGCCAGGGATTACACCTGGGTAGGCATATACAAGGCAAGTGCCTTAACTGCTAGACTCTTTTTGGTTTGCCCCAGACATATTTAATCTTTTTTTTTTTGTAATTTTTTGGGTCACACCCAGCGATGCTCAGGAGTTACTCCTCACTTTCCACTCAGGAATTACTCCTGGCAGTGCTTGGGGGACCATATGGGATGCCGGGGATTGAACCCGGGTCGACTGCGTGCAAGGCAAACTCCCTATCCGCTGTACTATTGCTCTGGCCCAGACATATTTAATCTTCATGCTAATAAGTTTTCTTACTTTTTTTTGGTATATAAAGGAGAAAAGATCCAGAGACACAGAGGAGAAGGGAAGGACAGAATACTTCTGAGTTTCCGACTTTTGTTACAAGAATCCTTGCTTGGCTAAATGTAAAGTGACTATCTTCAAATCTGGATTCTTGTCCATCTCTTTTTAGCCCTCTGCTACATCTGGGGCAAACAGCTTACATTCAGGTGCACTTTGTTCTGACTGTTCTTTCCTCCACTCTACATGGGCCCAGATGTGGGTTTTTCTTTGGTGACTGGAGAAAAGAATGAACAGCAGCTCCGTGGTTATTTCAGATCTCTGGTTCAGTTTCGAGAGGAAGAAACAGACATGTGAAGAGTCAAATTAATGACTCTTCAATCAGATTTGGTGATACGAGCAAACCACAATCAAAAATTAGTGACTAACTGAGAATGAATTAAGGAAAGTACATTTTACTTTTTTCCCCCTTGATATTCAAAACATTTCCCCAGCTATCCAGAGCTTTGAGTAAAGCACAGAAATTAGATTATTTTCTTCTTCTTCTTCTTCTTCTTTTTTTTTTAAAGGACAGGGTCTTTATTTTTTAATTTTTCTTTTTTTTAGCTTTTTGGGTCATATCCGGCGATGCACTCAGGAATAACTCCTGGCAGTGCTCGGAGGACCATATGGGATACTGGGAATTGAACCTGGGTCGGCCGCGTGCAAGGCAATGCCCTACCCGCTGTGCTATCGCTCCAGCCCCAAATTAGATTATTGTCTAAAAACTTTATCTAATTAGAAGTGTCCATTTGTAAAATGAAGAGGAAATTTTTTTTTCTTTTTGGGTCACACTCGGCGATGCACAGGGGTTATACTCCTGGCTCATGCACTCAGGAATTACTCCTGGTAGTGCTTGGGGGACCATATGGGATGCTGAGAATAGAACCCGGGTTGGCCACGTGCAAGGAAAATGCCCTACCCGCTGTGCTATCGCTCCAGTCCTGGAATTTTTTTTTTTTATCTCTACTCTGTATTTAATAACACAGTAAACAATAGTGATAATAACAAAGTTCAGTTGAGATTAAAATAAGCATAAGTGCTAAGAATACTTGGGTGTCTTAATGAAAATTCTAACAGTATTTTAAACCCAGAGAAATGGGGTTGGATGCATTGAACTGTTCTCTTAGTGCATAGCAGGACCGTGGTTTTTGGAGGGGAGGGCATGTAAAGTATGTGGAAAATCGCATTTAATTCTCAAGTTCTTTGCCTGTCACACACTCACTTTTCAAACCCAGGCACGAAGGATAGGGCGAGGCCTTTGACAATGAAAGTATGATATTTACATAATTGTCTTTGAGAAGCCATGAGTTCATTTCTTATATCTGTGGACAGGCCGTTTTAAATATCCAGATATTTTGACAGATGTCCATGACAAAGAACTTTCCTAGTTTTATAATCTGAATGCAATTTATCCTGGGGAACCAGCATACCATCTGAGTGTGAAAGTAAACTAACTTATGAATTTAAGTAAAAACATTGGATTACTTGTTTAAAAACATTAGAAAAAGCTTTGTAGTAAATGTTAAGTGGCAGCATACGCATTCCCAAACATACATACCATGTCTTCAATGTTTTATGTACTTTTGAAAAATCAGGCACTTGAAAATAACTATGAAGTTATATTCCGAGAACCTGACACTCGCTGGAAATTCAACGTTCAAGAGTTAGCCAGGTACTTCTTTGTTTTTCTAGTTCCTCATTCTGTATCCTGCTGTTTTCAGGTATTTCAGACTGAACAAAAGCATCTTTTCGGGCTGGAAACGGACATGGTAGTTTTCAGGCCAGAAATGGTAATTCTTGGAAATTGATAACTTTGGAATTATTTATGTGAAGACTTTAGCTTGGGGGTCAGCTATCTAATGTAATGCTAAATGCTAAATCTTGGCTTGGCCTTGGTGCTTAAAAAGGACACACTTAACATTCGGCTAAAATGCTTTTTTATTAATGAACCTTTAAAAGCATTTTCCTTTGCATGGGATTGCACATGTCAGTGAGGATTTTGCATTTAGGTTAGAGGTCTTTAGATAGTGAGCATTTTGCTTGGTGGTTCATTTATGATCTAGATGCTTCTTCTCATTTATAAAGCAATAACTTTTTATTAATTGCATGGGTTCTGATGGCCACTATTTGTGTTTTCTAATAATGCCAGTGATTCAGAGTAGCTTCTGAGATCAGAGTTTACTTTTAGTGAATGAGGCTAGTTCATTTTATGATTACAAGCAGATAGCAGTTCTGAGTTGGGATTGTGCCTCTCACAGTCACCTGAGGTGATTATTAAAAATCCTGTTTCCTGTGCCCTGTTCCTTACTTGGCCTCTCTGGTAATTACATTCCTAACTCTATCCCCAGTAAATTTACATATCCGCTGGAAACTGGGATTGTTTTAGTAAGCATGGAGCAGTACGTATGACTGACATCAATGGATAAATACCTGCGTGATTAACAAGCACATATGTGATAGAAAGATCTCATGGTATTGTTTTCTGTCTTGAAGCAAGGAATCGAGACTTCTAGACAAACAAGCTTTCGCTTTTTACTAGGCTTAGGGTAGTTCGGGGGTGTAAGGGGCAGCATGCAAGGCGAAGAGGGGTCTGAAAGATAACCTCTTCATGCTGTTTGACTCAAGTTGGGTCCCGAGAACGGGGAGTGTGTATCTGTGGAATAGTAAGAGAATTTAAGCTTTATGAGGAACTCTTTTTGATACACTGCTGTAACTAAATGTTCGCATTTCTCCCTCTCACCCCCATAGAAGAAACATTCACGGAGTTCCAAGAGAAAAAATACAGCGCATGAAAGAACGGTATGAACATAATGTTACCTTTCACAGTGTTCTTCATGCAGAAAAACCAAACAGAATGAACAGAAACCAGGACAGGAATAATACATCGTTTTCCAATGGCACAGGCTACTGGAACACCTACGCTGAGTTCCCACAGCGGCGGCCGCATGGTGGCTTCACCAACGAGAGGAACACCAGCAGGAGGGGAGGCTGTCACCACGGATATTAGAGGCATTCCAGATGTTCCCAAATGAGTTTTTACTTTGATTTTTAGTATTTATTTGTCGTCTCGTTTTACTCAGAGCTCTAACTCCAGTGTAAATAGTAGAATCTCAAAGTTTTTGAACCGAAGCCATTATTTTCATCTTCAATAAACATTTGTTCAAGTGATCATATATGCATGGTCTGATGTGGGGAACTCTGCAGATAAATTCAACAACGTTACTTTCTCTCTGGGGAAAATGTGAAACTGTGACCTGACACCATAAGCAAGAACGTAGGTGACAAAATAACACACGCTTCAGTGCCTATTTTTCTTTTCAGGACATTCATCTCCATTAGGAAAGTTGGAAAGGTGGGAGAGAAATGGGAGGAAGGAAAAATTTGATTTCAGTGCCACTGTTGCCCTGATCACCTGTGCATTAAAAAAATGTGAATTGTGTGACTTCAATGACATCGATTTTCCTTTAAAAGGAACATACTGAAATAAACATCTTGGGAATATCCTAGACTCTTGCACAGCGGGTAGGGCATTCACCTTACAAGCGGCCAACATGGCCGACCCGAGTTCGATTCCTCCGCCCCTCTCGGAGAGCCCGGCAAGCTACCGAGAGTATTCGATATGCCAGACACAGTAACAACAAAGTCTCCAATGGAGACGTTACTGGGCCCGCTCGAGCAAATCGACGATCAACGGGAGGGCCTTTACCTTTACCTTTACCTCTTTGGAAAGTACTCCTTTGGCGATTCACCTTTGTGAAACCATTGACATCTTTTAAATAGCTACACAGGCTCCTGAAGAAAATCAGTGTCATTTAAGTTACATCATGTGTTTTTATTGAATGTAATTAGAACTGAGTAGCTTTTGACTGTTTTGCTAATAGTGGAAATAAAATAAACCTGCCCTGAGGAGACACAGGTTTTTGGGAGGAATAATCAAAAAATCATGTTTATAAATGTGTGTCATCAGTTGACAGTGCACATTTAGGCATCAAAGTGAGCTCCCAGGGCCTCGATCATTCGGGGATAAAGTTCACTGTTCACCGTGTGATGAACTAACTTGGTGTTTTATGTAGCATCGTTTATGACGAAGTTCTGCAACTCTAAAATGTCCTGTTAATATCAGTAATGAATTTATGAATCCATGAATCCAGATGAAAGCTCAGATGGTTGACATCAGATTAATTGGACCTGAGACTATCAGATAAAACCATGTTGGTTGTAAGCTTTATTTATTTTTTGTTGTTGCCCAACAGCTTCTAATATTCTGCAAGTATTATTTTGTGTCCTAAATGATGGTGCTTTCATGGTTATTAAAAATTACATATGATATTACTTTATATGGATTTGTCTCTGAATTGGAACATTTCCCTTTTGGTTCAACATAAAAATTTACTTCTTTTTGTCTTGGGGCTACACCTGGCAATGCTCAGGGGTTTCTCGTGGCTCTGCACTCAAGAATCACTGTTGGTGGTTCTTGGCGGGGTGGGGTCGGGTGGGGGGCATATAGAGTGCCAGGGATAGAACACAGGTTGATCACATGGGAGGCAAATAAACGCCCTACCCACTGTACTATCTCTCAAGTCCCTATTTGTTTTTTTTTGGCCACGCCAATTGTGTTCAGAGATGACTCCTGACTCTTTGTTCAGGCATCATTCCTGGAGGGCTGATGGGGTTGACCATATGGAGTGTTGGGGGGATCAAACTTGGGTGAGCCATGTGCAAGACAAGTGCCCTCCCTGCTGTACTACTGCTGTGTCCCTCAACATAAAAATTTAAATTGATTCTGTAGAAGGTGACCATCCTAAGAATTGTATTTTTTTTTTTGCTTTTTTTAGGGGGGTCACACCTGGCGATGCTCAGGGGTTACTCCTGGCTTTGCACTCAGGAAGTACTCCTGGCAATGCTCGGGAGACCATGTCGGATGCTGGGAACCGAACCTGGATCAGCCTTGTGCAAGGCAAATGCCCTACCCGCTGTACTATCACTCCCGCCCCAGAATTAGATTTTTAAGGTCATAATTTTCTCACCATTCTAAGCAGATTGGGACAAAGGCAGTTGGGGACAGCTGAGTGGCTGCAAGGCCACCAGGGCAATGGCTGGGGCTGCCAGATGAGCTGAGTCCCGCTATGGCAGTGCCGGTGCTTGAGCCTGCAACTTCATGAGTCCCGAGCCCAGAGATTCAGTCAGGATAGTCAGGTGTGTGAGCACAAATGGGCGTGACCCTCACACCCGTGCCCCTAGCTCACAAGGAGCACTAAAAGATGTGCCAGTTCCACAATCAAGAACTGTGACCTGACAAGCATTTGTGTGAGCAGAGTGCAGCCCCTGTGAACAGAGGTAAGCGTCACAACTGAAGGTGTGCAACCTATGCACAGTGTGGCCAAGCGTCCAAGTCCACATACCTGCTGTGCAACCCCGAAGAAACACAACTGATGTTCGAGAGGCAGGAGTGCGTGAGATTCTGGCCACGGTATCCGTGAAGTGGGGAGTCACTGTCACTGTCCTCCCGTTGTTCATCGATTTGCTTGAGCGGGCCCAGTAACACTGTGAGACTTGTTACTGTGCTTGGCATATTAAATATGTCATGGGGAGCTTGCCAGGCTTTGCTGTGTGGGCGAGATACTCTCGGTAGCTTGCCGGGCTCTCCGAGAGGGGCGGAGGAATCAAACTTGGGTAGACCTGGGGAGTAAGAAAAGTTATTTAGCAATCTCATTGCCTTAATATTTCCTCTGGACATTTGTGGAATCTGTTCGTCAATAGCTTGTGGACTACCAGCAATTCACTTGCCATTTTTTTTTATTGTTAGTGAAACACCATGAGGTACAGTTGTAGATTTACAATTTTTTGTGCTTGGGTTTCGATTATACAACGATCAAATACCCATCCCTCCACCAGTGCCCATTTTCCACCACCATGGATAATATCCCTTCCACCCCCATCCCGCCCCCGTCCCACCCTGCCTCTGTGGCAGGGCGATCCCTTGTGTTCTCTCCTTTTGGGTGTTGTGGTCTGCAAAAGAGGCATTGAGTGGCAAACATGTTCAGTCCATAGTCTACTTTCGACATGCATCTCCCCTCCTGGGAAGATCCTCCAAACACCCTCTATTTGGTGCTCCCTTCTCTATCTGAGCTGCCCTTTCCCCTAGAATGCCCGGCTGGCCTCTAAGCTATGGAGTAATCCTCCTGGTTGGCCTCTAAGCTATGGAGTAATCCTCCTGGTGCTGATCTCAGCTATTCTTGGGTATTAATCTCATATTTTGTTACTTTATATTCCCCAGATGAATGCAATCTTTCTATGTCTATCCCTCTCTTTCTGACTCATTTCGCTTAGCATGATACTTTCCATGTTGTACCACTTGTATGTAAATTTCATGACTTCATCTTTTCTAACAGCTACATAGTACTCCATTGTGTAGATGTACCAGTTTCTTTAACCAGTCATCTGTTCTTGGGCATTCAGGTTTCTTCCAGTTTCTGTCACTTGCCATTTTTTTTAAACAGCAAAATTGAATCAACCTAAGGCATTGCTATAATTTTACTAAACTACATGTATCTAAATAAAGCATAATGATCTTCCTATCTTCTGTGATTCCAGAACTCAAGCCCTGCTGAGAGACACCTGGCTGCTGAGGGCTTCTGGTTCCTTTGGGCTGAGCCAGTGCCCACCACAGAGTGTTTTCCCGTTCTAGATTCAGTACTTTTAGACTTCAGAATAGTTCCTGGTCTATTTTCTGTGTCCCTCCCTCTCCTCACCCTCTGCCCCACTTTACTTAAACACTGTGGCGTACAAAGTTGTTGCTATTTGCTGTTTTATTTCCTAGAAGATTGGGAATGCTTGTTTGGAAGCATTAATTATGATTAAATGCCCTCGCTTTACTTATCCCAGGTTGAAGTGATCTTTTTTCAACACCCATGGCCTGATTTTTTTTTTCTTTTTGGGTCACTCCTCCTGACTCTGCACTCAGGAATTACCCCGCAGTGCTCACTGGACTATATGGAATACTGGGAATTGAACCCGGGTCGGCCATGTGCAAGACAAACGCCCTACCTGCTGTTATCGCTCCAGCCCCCCACGGCCTCTGATTTTACAAAACTTGTTTGAGTTTTTGGGACCCACCAGACTGTGCTCAGGAAGGGGTCACTCCTGGATATGCCGAGAACTGTATGTGGTTCTGGGGATCTAATCAGGGTCAGTTATGCAAGGCAAGTGCCTTAATCCCTGTCTTATCTCTCCAGCCCCTGATTTATATAATGAAAAAAATTTTTTGATATTGATTTGTTTTGATGTGATATGGTTTGCTTCAGCCATAGAGCTGACATGGTGCTTCATATTTAATAGGCTCTTGATTATCTACGATTCACAAAATGTAATTGTCTATAATTCACAAAATGTAATATGTGGATAAGATCTCACTAAAACAGGTCATGTAAATGGAAATGGAGGTAATAACAGCTAAATTTTTCATGATTAAAGTAAGAAGAAATCCTTATTCTTCCTATTCATCCGAGACTCAAATTTTATTCCCTGTTCTATTATAGTGGATTACTAGGGAAATAATAGGATACAAAACTGAATAGTTTTATAAACAAAACTTAAATCACAATAAGGATGGAATAGCTGAGTTTCAAAGAACAGCAGAATGAACTATGTCAATGACTTTCAGGAGATAAAAATCATGAGATAGTTATGGAAGGAAACAAATTGCATTTTCGAATGATTTACTCTTAACTTTACAGTGTGCTTATTAGATTTGAAAACACAGTATTATATGTAAATTTAGACATATTTAAAGACTTGAAGCCTGATTTAAGAACTTCTTCATGCCGTTGCCAGTCAGAACGGTTTCTTCTTTTTTTTTATGAAATATTACAGGAACCATGAGGGTTGGGACATGGCTCAAAGGCTGGAAGACATTCTTAGCATGTTGGGTTCAATTCCTGCACTGACTCCTATCCCTGAGCAATGCCAGGTAGGCCCTTTCCCACCACAAAAAAGCCAAACCCAAAACAAATGAGACTGTCAGCTTAAAATGAACTATTCTGCTTAGCCGCTGAGAGAATGAGTATTGTTTTGGTTTTTAAGTGAGTACTGAGTAATGTGAAGGGTTAAAACTAATGCAGTTATTTCTGTGTCAATTTGAATCTAGGGGTTTCTCAGGTTGTAGTCAGGATGACCATTTTGTTTAAAAAAAAATCCCCAAATTGAAATTTGCCTATGATTTAAAAATTTTTAATGTTTTGCGGCTGGAGTGATAGCACAGCAGGTAGGGTGTTTGCCTTGCACACGGCCAACCTGGGTTCGATGCCCAGCATCCCATATAGTCCCCAGAGCACCGCCAGGAGTAATTCCTGAGTGCAGAACCAGGAGTAACCCCTGTGCATCACTGGGTGTCACCCAAAAAGAAAAAAAAAATTTTAATGTTTTGTTTTTGGGTCATATCTGGTGATGCTCAGGGGTTATTCCTGGCTCTGCACTCAGGAATCACTTTGGCCTGTACTAGGGGCCTTAGGAGATGCCTGGGATTGAACCTGGGTTGGCTGCAGTGCACGGCAAGCCCCCTACCCGCTGTATTATTGCTCCAAACCTTAAAATCCTTGAGTTTTTAATAGAAATTAGAGCTGACAACAGAATAATTACATCAAGAGTTCTATTTTTTTTTGTTTCTTTGTATTATTGGGTCACATTCAGTGGTGCTCAGAGTTTATTCCTGACTCTGTGCTCAAGAATCACTCCTGGCGGAGTTCAGGGGATCACATGGGGTGCCGGGGATTGAACCTAGATTGGCTGTGTTCAAGGCAAGGGCCCTACCGATTTTCTCTTTGACCCCAAGAGTCATAGTTTTGCCACCTTAAGAATAGAGAATTGGGGGGTATGGTGCTGCCAGCAGGTCAATCTGTATCTGTGAGGCGAGTGCATCAGCAGCCTGATGGCGCCTTCAGACTTCCAGATACCCCAAAATTGCTGCTGTGCCTTTGGCCAGACCCCAAAAACTTGGGGCAAAGTTTACCAAGAAAGTAAACGGCCAAAACTTAGGTATGTGGGAAACACACCCACAAACCACCTCCGGCTCAGCTATATAATTGAAGGCATGGCCTCTCTGGTTCCTGATTGAACTGCTTAATGGCCATGATCCCAGAGACTCAGAAACAAATCTCAAAACCCAGTGGCTTTTGGCAGAAATGCATCCAGTCCCTGCAGTAGGTTACTGGTGCTGGGCCACTGCAGGTGGGAATAGGTTTTGTGCCTTGGCCTGTTCCCCCTGGTGGCCTGGTGGCCTCCATCCTCCAGAGGCCACTGGACAGTCAGGTTTGGGCCCGCAGTGATGAGACATTTTGGG